ATTGTTTTTTCAAAGAAGATAATAAGAAAAGTGGGGCCTGGCACAGTGGCTCACACCTGTGATTCTAGCACTTTGGGAGGCTAAGGCAGGTGGATCACCTGAGGTCAGGAGTTTCAGACCAGCTTGACCAACATGGTGAAATCCCGTCTCTACTAAAAATGCAAACATTAGCCTGGCATGGTGGTACCTGCCTACAGTCCCAGCTACTCAGGAGGCTGAGGCATAATCGCTTGAACCCAGGAGGCGGAGGCTGCAGTGAGCCAAGGTCAAGTTCGCACCACTGCACTCCAGCCTGGGTGACAGAAAAACAAGTGGGGGTGAGGGGAGGATGTAAATAGGAAATTCCCAGAGGATAAACATATTAACAGCCAATAAATCAATAAAAAGGTCCTCAACCTTATCAGAAATCAATATATAAATTAAAATTAATAGAACCACTCAACACCAACAGAATAGGGAAATGCTGGTGACAGTGAAATTCACATAACCACTTTGGAAAAGCAACTTAACAACTAGTGAAGCTAAATAACCAGTAATATTTCCTCCTTTGGAGAAACTAACACATAGGCCCAAGTAAACATACAAAATACTCACTGCATTGCTATTGATTTGTAAGAGGAAAAAAGTGGGAACCCAATAACCCTTCACTAGGGTAGCGAAACAAATTGATATGCTCACTCAGTGGCATATTACACAGCAATTACAATGAATGAACCATTTCCTGTCAATATGGATGCATTAGTCTGGGTTCTCCAGAGAAACAGAACCAATAAGATATATAGATGAGAGAAAGAGATTTACTATATGGAATTGGCTTCTACGGTTCTGGAGGCTGAGAATTCCCAAGATCTGCAGGTGATAAGCTGAAGACCCAGGAGAGCCAATGGTATAGTGCCAGTCCAAGTCCAAAGGCCTGAAAACCAAGAGAGCTGACGGTATAAGTTCCACTCTGAGTCCACATCACAAGGCAGAAGACTGATGTTCCATCTTAGAGAGAGTCTCTTAATCAGCCTTCCCGTTCTATACAGGCCTTCAACGTATTGAATGAGGCCCAGAAATATCCTGATATACCCAGAATAAGACCAAATATCTGGGTACCCTATGACCCAGTCAGGTTGACATATAAAATTAACCATCATAGCCAAGTGTGGTGGCTCATGCCTGTAATCCCAGCATTTTAGGAGGCCAAGGTGGGAGAGTCGTTTGAGACCAAGAGTTTGAGACCAGCCTGGGCAACAGTGAGACCCCCTCTCTACAAAAATAATTAAAGTAGCCAGGTGTGATGGTAAATGCCTATAGCCCAGCTACTCAGGAGGCTGAAGTGGCAGGATCACTTGAGCCCAGGAGGTTGAGGCAGCAGTGAGCTATGATCATGCCACTTCCCTCCAGCTGGGCAACGGAGACCCTGTCTCAAAAAGAGGTCTTGCCTATCATGATAGGGAATCTGTTATGGACTGTATGTTTGTGTCCTCTTCAAAATTCCAGTGTCGGAACCCTAACTTCCAGTGGGTCAGTATTAGATGGGCTCTTTAGGGGGTCATTAAGTTCTGAGAGTGGACCTCTCATGATGACCTTAGTGTCCGTATAAGAAGACAAACAAGGAAAGCTTGCTTCCTCTGCCACGTGAGGACACAGCAAGACGACCATCTGCAAACCAGGAACGTCCTCACGATACACTGGATCTGCTGGCATCTAGATCCTGGACTTCCCAGCCTCTAGAACTAAAAGAAATAAATTGCTATTACCATCTATGGTAATTTACTTTAGCCACCCAAACCAAGACACTGACCTTGACCCAGTAGC